AAGCACGTTCTTTGGCCAAAAAAACATCATATTAATCAGAATATCCTGATGTAAAAAATGCTAAATTTTCACGTAAATAGGTTGATAGTTTCATGTTTTAGCATAATCTATTAAATAGAAGAAAAATTACAGTTGTATAGTGACTTCTCGAGGATTATGCAGAATAACAATCTGAATTTTTATCATATGTTATATATTTGAGAAAGGAGAATAAATATTTATTATCCCTTATTGGGAATATGGATGAGACGCTGATATCATTCAATCTTTTAAGTAATACAACTGTGAAATAATCTGATTTTAAGACTGTATCAATTTTGTCTACAGGTCACAAATGATCAAATTTTACCGTTGTGTTAGCTTGTTTGGCTGATAAGACTAAGTTATCACTGGTTATAATTTTTAAACTCAAAAAGATTCCTCAAGAAAATTTCCTGAAGATGTAGTAATTCATGCAAATTCTAAAAGATGGATGAATGAAGAGAAAATAATATAGCAGATCAAGAATATTTAAACAAAACATTCACGAAGAAGAAGCAATCTAAAATCTCTTTTAGTAATAGATCCATTTTCTGGTCATAAAACTGATACTGTAAAAAAACGATTTTATGAAAAGAAAACAGATTTAGCTGTCATTTCTGACGAACTAACTTTCAAATTGCAATCACTTAATATTTTCTTGAACAAACCTTTTAAAGTAAAAATACGAAATCTTTATAATCATTGGATGTCAGAAGCAATTAAAGAATATACTTCATCAGGAAAAATTAAAAGACCTTCTTATTCATTTGTAGCTACTTAGGTAAAGAAAAGTTAGAAAGCCATGGATATTGATATGATTTGACGTTCTTTTAAGTGTTGCAGAATTTCAAAACAATATGAATGGGTTGAAAGATACTTTAATTTTTAACTTTGATCAATTAAATAAAGATAATTTTAAAAGAGATGTTATTTATGATAACGAGATTAGTGATAGTGATATTGATAATAGTAATGATGAGAATAGTGATGGTAAAGAGAGTGAATTAGACAATAATTATTATCAAGAAATAAAAAGCAACATATTATTCATGATTGGTTTTAATAATTTTATACAATCATAATATACTATACAAAGATTTTTTTTTTAATAATAAAGTATAATTTTTAGAATATTAGATTAACTCAACTAATAAACTTATTCTTGTAAAAATTAAAAATTAAAGTTTTGGCTAAACATTTTATAGTAATAAAATACTCAGGTATATATTAATTTACCTAATTTAAAAATTGAATTATATCTGGATCTTAATTTAAGAACATTTTTTTGTGCTTAATAAAATATCTGGGTATATTATTATAGGGTACAGTCAAAGGGAGGTCTCTTAGGCAGTGCTCTACGGTAAATAATATTAGTATTGGTCTTTTCTGTTTGACTTCTTAAATTACCAAATAATTTATAATGTCTTTAGCAGCTTTGCAAATTTGTATATCACAATCATTTTCATATGGCTTACTTTCTTCAACTACACTAATTTTATAAGGTCTTAAATTTGATGTATATACTATGCCATCAGATCTATTAGTGTTACCTTATTGACTAGAAATTATAGCATTATTTCCTCTACAAAAGCATAAATTAGTAAATTATTTTATTATAAACAAAAATAAAGTACTTATGGTCAATATTTAATATTTGCAAATCTTGCTAATGCTTTTTTTATAATAGAATGAATATACGTAGACATATATTCTTCCTCTAGTATGTCATAATTTATTAAAGAATTCTCAGATTCCATCTTATATGCATCAAAACTAAACATAGAAAAGATTGAGATTAGACAAATGTCAAACTAAATAAATCTGATTACAGATACTTACAAAATTGGTAAAATCTCAAATAAGAATCTTTTTAAATTCTTTAAGAAAAGATCTATTTTAGGATCTAATAACTTTTTTATCTCATCTCTCCATTGTTGATATGTAAGTTTCTATTATATAAAAGATGAGCAATAAGTGATGTGATATGTTAGAATTGAAAAATTTCAAACAAAAAATAATATCTTTAAGAAGAATGTTATTAAGAAATCAAACGTATTTTTTAGAAAGACATTATTAATTGTAACAAAAATATTTTAAATAAGCTTTGAATAGTCATCTTCTTTTATATGTAGAATGACGAATTCTGATGAAGGTCGTAGGTCTATTATATTATCAACTGTTAGCAAATCATTATGACTCTGATAATATTTATGAAAATTATTAAAGAGATTTTGTGTTTTCTGTGAAATATCTAGAAATTGGTCAAGTATATTATATGCTACAAGACTTTAATTATTGTTGTGATTATTGTGATCATTATCACTAATCTAAAAAAAAATAGATATTAATAGTATTTTTACTATAAAAAAAATATGGATTTTAGATACAAACTAAATCATGCACAGTTTGTTCTTCGTGGTATCAGTTCATTTACTAACAGAAAAATCATTATCATCTATTATTAATTATTTATTTGAAGTTTCCGCAAATGATCAGAAAATTTATGTTCAGAAAATACTATTGTATCGAGTTGACAGATTCTTTCTGTAATCAGCCTATCGAAATTTACTTGGTAAAATTTTTCATAGAAATTTTCACAATTTTCCAGCACAATGGTACTCTTAAACGTGTCATAAATATTATACAACTCTTTACAGAAACTAAACATGCAAGGCAGAACTTTTTTGTTTTTAAAAATAAAGAGAAGAGATCACTGTCAATCATCATACACCGTATTCTAAGGTGATATTTTTTCATCTTTTAACCAAAAATTTAAATAATGTTTAAGTTATCAATATTGGTTTCTATCTTCGTAAAATAATTGTGAATATTTGTATCATCTAAATTAACCTTAAAATCTAAGAACTTTGAAGATATAAGTGTAGCAGTCATTGTAAACTATGATATAGAAAGGAAAAGAGGGTCATAAATAATATCATTTGAAATTTTTCTTCCTTTGTCATCATTTCTATTTAAGAAAATCAAGTTATCATGTGATCACAATTATAATTGTATTATTCTTTATTATATTTTATTATAGTGATACTATATAGAGTTATAAAAATGATAAAATAGTTTAATAAAATTATTAAATTTATTAAATTTAAAAGTTTTAGTGTGAAAAAAAAATTATTTAAAAAATTACATATATTTTAAAAATAAGATAACTTGTTACTATGATTTTTCATTTGAATTTTGCTTTTGTGATCTCCTTTCTTTTCTTTTATTCTTTTTTATAATTTTTTCCTATTAGAATAATTGATTTTATGAATCATTATTTGTATGATTTGTATTTTCTATTATATGAATTCTTTTTGTATATTCTATATCAAATTGATCTTATTGCAATTTAAATTCTTCAATATTTACATTTATTACTCTTGCTATTGAATGGAATGCTTTAATATACTGCTTTAAAATGTTTTAATGAAATATGTATATAGAATTTTTGATATATAAAAATTATTATATAAATCCAGATTAATATTAGACAATATTCATTATAATCTAATAACTTTTTATTAAAATATTTTAAAGTATAAATCAAACTTAAAAAATGAATGTCTAGTCTTTATATAATAGATAGTAAAAAACTATTATTTGTGAATAAAAGATCATAGATTTTAGATATATATAGTTGTTACAATAATTCTGATTCTTATACTTTTAAATCAAAAGAGTATTTACAAATTTGATATACCTATTAATCTAATTCTATAATACTTTATTTATATTGATAAAATTTGATTGATTGTATTCCTTGATGTATAGTCCCTAGCGAAAAGAATGGCAGAAACATATTTCGATGATATATACAAACTTTATTTTAATGTATATTTTTTTTTTATTATTTATAAGAACAATACTAATGATAACTTTTATATTATTAATTAATATTTGGTGTGTCTTCCTTCAGCATTGATACATGCTTTAACCTGGCTTAACATGCTCTCGATGTACTAAAGTAACATGGTGTCATCAAAATCATTTCATTTCTACTAGATTGTATTAAGAAATATATCACAGATAATGTATTTTTTTTTGCTACTAAATACTTGATCTTTTTTTTCACCTTTTTCTTTAATACAGCCATACATTTTCAATAGGATTCAAGTCTGGGCTATATGAAGGTCAAGAAAGAACTCGTCCTGAAAGATATTTTTTTAAGTCTTCCTAAATATCGTGTGAGGTGTGTTTTGAGTCATTATCTTGTTAGAAGACTCAGCTACGTCTGTATAACATATTCACATTGTTATACAGATAGTCATCCAAGATTTTTTGATACAAATGATGATCCAAATTTTCAGTAAACAAATAAATGCTGATTTTTCCTTTAGCACTAATCGCTATTCAAACATGAACCTTAAATGGATGCTTTACTATAGGGCAATTGGTTGTGCATTATGAGACTATGCACACATAGTATTTCTAAACATCTGAAGTGTTGTTTCATCAGAAAAAACAACTTTTTTCCAGTTATATCGCGAATAATCACGTGCTCAAGACAAACGAAAATCCTTCGCTTTTTGGGTCAAGAAAGGAACCTTTCTTGGAAGAACAGAAACATATCCAAGATTGTTGAGCTTACGATGTATCGTACGTTCACTGACATCAAGGTTGGGATCTTTTTCTTCCAATTTGCCTTAAGTTCACCTGCTGTAGTAAAATGATTATGTTGCAGAATTTTTCCAATATAGCGGTGTTGATTTGAAGCCAATTTTCTTGAACAGCCAGAAGAGTGACCAATAGAAATTTTGCCAGTTTTATTTAGTAAACTGACATATCGTTCACATGTGCACAAAGGAA